CCCCTCCCCCCCCCCCTTCGACCCTTCACCTTCGAAGGCTTCGAAGGCTTCGAAGCCCCCTTCGCCGAAGGGTCCTCGGATGCAGCCCCCTTTTTTTTATGCTCTTGCACAGAGAGTTCCCACAGGCTTCAAGCACGACATTGCTTCGCGCTTCTTGCAAGACGGTTGACGATGATTTTCTCTCCGTTTCTATGGAAAATGTAGATTGTTTTGCTGGAGGTTTAGTCCAGATCGAGGTTAGGTCAACAGCGGTTGGCCTTGTTGCATTGTCTCTCAAGATGCCCGTCAGAGCGGAGTGTGACGCTGTAGGATGTCAGTCAAAATCCGTCGCCTGCCTCCGCCCATGGGAACTGAATTCGGTTGCAAAATTTGCATACTGCGCAGAGACTATAGTGCATTCGGCAGGTCGCAAGCCATGACTGGTTGTGGACTCGTCCATTTGTGGCACAAATTCTGCCTGCCTGATCCCAGAGAGATCATCTCTCCCTAAATTGCAGTCGGTTCAAGCCTCTTAGCCATTGCGGGGGAAGTACAAGGTGCTTGCTGCTTGGTCCATTGATGTTAAATCAACTCACAAGTCCATTGGAGTTCGAGAGTCCGAACAAGGTCTTTTGGGCATTCGTATGGGCCAAAAATTCTTCTTTTACAAAGTTTGTCCATTTGGTGCAGTGTTCAATGCATTTTGGTTTGCTCGCTTGGGAGCCTTTTTCGTGCGAACATTACATCGACTCAAAGACATGTCACATTTCCTTGCATTATATGGGGATGATTTCCTTGGCTTTCAATGTGCTGCTGTTGCCGAGATGTCGCTTTGCCTTACATTATGTTTTTGTGGGGTCTTTGGCGTTCCATTATCCTGGAACAAGCTGCAATTTGGCAGCTCCATTCACTGGATAGGCTGGGCTGGATTTTGACATCGGCTGTGTTTCCATTCCGGTGATTAGTGGGATGCAGTGGCTATTCAAGCTCTTCCAATTGGCAAAGCCTTGGCTAAGAGCCTTGTACCAGGACTTGCGTGCTCCACGAGCCACAAACTTTAGCCTTCGCCAAAATGAGTGGCACTCTTTCGTGGAGTGTCTGAGCGATTCCTTGCGTTTGACCCGTTTACCGGCTGGGTCTTGGCTGTTCGCCATAGGAAAGTTCGTACCAAGAAGGAGCTTTTAAACTGAAGTCTGGGAGATAAAGATATTTGGCTTCGCATTGCTGATCCATCTTCGAAGCGCAAAGCTCGCTCCCATGCATCACGACATCTTTTACATTTTTTTTGGTTGGGCTGGTCTCAACTTCCGCCTCTTTGGCGGAGTCTCAGACCTCAACAACTTCTACATTATGAGGCAGCTGCTGATGCCATGGGAAGTGGTACTACATTTGCTGTCGGAGGCTACATTGCCCTTGCATCCGGGGAGTTTTGGTTCTCTGAATGCTTTTCGGTTTCCGATTTTGCATTTGCAGACTTGCCTTTGAAATCAGAGGCTCACAAGGACATTAGCTGTTATGAGTGCCTTAGCCAAATTGCATTAGTTTGGCTTCTCAGCACCTTGCATTTATTTTGTAGGCTTTCTCTCAAGCTTCGCGCATGGTGTGACAACACGGGTGCAGAATCTGCATCCAATAAGATGTTCACCACTTAATGGTGCGATGTTGTGCTTGCATTCGCACTTCTGTCATGGCTTGCGTTCGCCAATGTGGACTGTTATGAAATATCTTTATTTGCTTCTTTTCAGTGGCAGTACTTGGCATTGCATCTGGCATTCTTCTGCAGGCCGAAGCATTTCCTCTACATTGACCGTGCTTATGTTGTAGCTGAGCTTCAGCATAGGTGCGGTCCAGGTAGGGGAAAGCATGCAGATCGGTTGCATTCGAGGCATAGCCTTCTTGGACTCGGAGATCTGCGTTTCCCGCCACAGAACAAAAGAAGGGCTTGTGACCGAGTGTGTGCATCAATTCCTTTCCCGAATGTTATTTATATATACATTTGAATTTTGGCACATATATTACAGCAGCTGCGAATACATTATCCGAACCCTGGAAAACTTGGCGCGACTGGGCTACCTTCGTCAGGTGGATGGGAACCCTGCCTGGTGGACGTATCTTCAGTGGAGCCACGAGAAGGAGGAGCTGGAGCAGATGGACAAGGCCCCCCTCAAGACATCCATTGGGGCCCCGGGAGCACTGCTGCGGTTTCACAGCTCTCGCAAGCTGGTGGAGCACCGCAAGACGGCAGTGACGTTCTTCCTGGGCATAGGCCTGCGCGACCCGTTGTCGTTGGTATGCTACCGGGCGCTTCTTCAGCTGTGCTTCAGTGCCAGCGCCCAGCTGATCAAGATGAGGATTCGCCCCACCAAGATGGAGAGGTGCAGGAAAGGTTCCCGCCTCCTCCTCCAAGGAGCGAGGACCAGATGGCCACCTACTTTGCGAAGGCCGAGATGATCTCGAGCAAGGGCAAAGGCAAGGGCAAGAGCCAGGCCAAAGGTTCCCAGAGCGAGGCGCCGGAGAAGGCTCCCAGCTCTGGAACGGCTGGCGGCGGGGCCCCAGCTACGGCTTATTTTACAGAATCCGCACCAAATTTGCTATGCCAACTCGGTTGTACTAGTAAGTATTTCTGTGGATGGGTGCTGTACAGATGCAAAGTGGACGCTCGGCTATGACTTATGGGAGGCTGGAATCTCAGTGCCTGCAGCTCCTATGTACAGAAAGGACTTGTTTGCTCACTCATGCATGGAGGTCATTGTCTACTGCGTGGCGCAGTAATCTACGGCAGCAACAGGATGCTGCGGAGTTCCTACATTTTCTTCCTGAGCATGCGAAGCCGACAGCCTATGAGGGAGAATGGCAGGGGCGTTATACACTACGACGTCTGACATGTATTTCGGACCGAGGTCATTGCTTCCAGCCGATTGCATTGGAAATTCATCGAGATGGTTTGCAGGCCAGTATTCAAGCGTGGCACGAGCAGCGTTACATACATGCTCTTCGACAGGCACCGCGATTGCTATACTTGATGATCAAGCGATACACCCAGCACATTACTGGACCCAGTAAGAGCACGACTTTTCTGGATTATCAGGTTGGTGCAACTGTGTGGTTTCCTGTCTTCAGTTCCGCCCGGGGCTTGGAGATTACTTGGAAAAGATACTCCATCCTTGGTATGATCGTTCATACTGGCAACTCTGTTCGCTCAGGCCATTACCAGGTTCTTCTGAGCGGATATCACCGGTATCCAGCAGCACATCGTTGGGTCACTTTACTCACTGATGATGTAGAGCAGCACGGGATGCAACTGAACATCAGCTGCAACATTCCAAATGCAACAATTACATCATTGGTCGCAGTCTTTTGGACGACGCAGTGGATGTGACCTCTTCGTTGAGCTGAAGTTTTGCGATCATAGCTGCACCCGGCATGCCGAGTACTGATATGCATGATCTTTTCAGCTGCTGAGTGAGACTGCGCAATGCATAGTAAATGTATTTGCCTCGCTTGGTCATGCGTGACGGGGGCTGTACCGCTTAGCCATTCGTGGCGGGGTACCTACATTTAACCTTTGAGAATGCATACACCACATAGTGCGTTCTGTAGCTTCACGCCGGGCAAACGCCTGTTCTCATCAAGCGGCCCGTACTGACGCTGCGAGTTGAATGAATGAAAAAAATATCGAGCAAAACACGGCGGCTCCGCGATCAGCTGGTGGACACACTGGCGGGCATCATGTTTGCTGCAGTCCTGAGTCGCAAGGACGGCGAGAAAATGAGAGGACGATTGCAGCTTGCTGAGCAGCAATTATCTAAGACTCTAGGAAAAGGGTTGGACTTGAATACAAGGAGCTATCCAGACGTATGTCCAACGGGGCTGGTAAGTTAGAACCTGGTACGCTAGCGCCCCCCAGGATCCCTTAAGAACCGCGGCCACGGCGTTGCATCACTAATCGACCATTGCTTCACGTGGCACTTGTATGTCGATGCTTTTAACGACAATTCTCGTGCTGGTATCGGTGGAGCGTTGATCTCCGAGAAGGGCTCTGTCATTGGACACTTCAGCAAGCACCTTTCTTGAATACTTCTGAAAGCAGAATCCGATATTTGAGCTGGAGTGAAGCTATATGGTGTGGTGTCGCTCAGTTGTTCAGGAATAGTCATCTCACCGTCTTTACTGACAAGAGGGCGCTTTGTACTCCATGATCAACGGCAAGAACGATTCCGGAGGCCGCATCGCGGCGGCGATGCACAATCTTCTTGACGATTGCTTCATCAGCCCTTGGTTCGAAAGGGTGAATACTGCATGGATTCTTTCCGATCTTCCTGCGAGGTCGGGAGCGAGGGCCGCGATCGACTTTTCGGGACTCGCCCGTGTGGCGGAATTGAGGGGTGATGTGCCACCGTGCGAGAGTGCTTAGTCTGGGCGGTGTGGAGTGTGCGATGTCACACGTGTGTGGTGTGGGCTTCGGAGTGGCGTGTCCGCCAATGCGGCATGGCGGTCCGAGTGCGAGTTATGGATTATCAGAACGTTTGAAAATAACATACATTTGGTCGAATTCCCCGTCGGTTGTGAAACACATTTTATTGATCAGTTGGGATGATTATATTTGTATGCGAATTTGGCATCGAATTATTTGATGATCTGCATGCGAGTTTTTTTGGGAATAAAGAAAATAGGTTTTTGCATGCGCGGAAGTGATGGCATCCCACGTGATCCATTGGCACAGAGCAAGTGTCCAGATGTGAAGAGTTGTTTCCTTTTGCCCGGCCAGTTCGGGCACCAAGCTCAGCACATGTGCGGGTTGTTCTTCATGATCTCTGACATGTCGGCCGTCCAGCCGTGCTTGCTGCGCGAGGTCCATGGCCGTCAATGGGCGGCATGAAACTGCCGAAGCAACAGTGTGGTCAGGGGATGGAAAAACGCAGGCGAGGTTGGCTGAATCAGGGTCAGTTCCTGTTTGCTAATGATCAAATGTTGTCAGGACGAGCTGATGATGAAGGACGAGTGCATCTTGGTCAACTACATGGACGAGGTTACTGAATTGGTGGACAGTGCTTGTTGCATGTTGTTCTGGAAGGCCACAAAATTGGTCAAGCCACACTCGCTGCCTGTTTTGGAGGTGGTTGGCCACAACAACAAGTACAACTGTCACAAATTTGCACCCGGCCAGCCGCGTGGCTTGCTGTCCGAGACCAAGGTCGTCGATTCATGAAGTGCCGACAGTACCTCTGTACTAACATCTCGCTTCATTATTGGGGCCCAGGTGTTAAAAACAGTGGTAAGTCTGAGCACTTGCCAGAACTATGCGTGTTCTGCAGGCACAGAGCCTTTTCCGTGCTGCTGTTCGACAGCGAAAATCGCTTGCTGATAGGGCCTCAGACTCTTTTTCCACTCTTTTGGTGGCAAGTGTCTGAATGAGATGCTGGATCAGACATTATCGTCTCGAGGCTCCAGCAGAGGGCGCGCAGCAAGATCACATTCCCTTTAGTGTGGACCAACACATGTCAACACCCCAGTGGACTGTTGGATTTAAAGGCCGAGGAGTCCGACGTGTGAGTGCAAGTTTGCAAGGTTGCAGTCATCCTCTCTACGGCATGAAGCCGGGTGAAGTGGACGAGCCATGCCCTTGGCGGTCATCCGATCAGCCAGCCTAAGTCAGTGTAAGTGTCCCCTTCTTTTGGCTGGGTTGGGGCTGCACGGGACATCCTGTTGAGTGCAACGATGTAAGGCCAGAGGCGATCTCGGCTGGTGATCCCAAAGGTGTCAAGGCAGGGACGTCTCCGAACTTTTCACCACTCGTTCTTGACAGATCAGTCCCGATCGCCATCGCAAGGCAGCAGCAGTTCGAAAACTTGGCCATGAGTTGGGTATCCCAGCCGTCAGTCGCCTGGTTCTGTGCTGCACCACCCTGTTGCAGGGAGAGTTTTCCTTACGCATTGCTAGCTTCAACCGATGATGTGCACTGAGGCTTCGCTAGATGCCTCGCGATTCAAGTTCCTGACCCGCCCCTCTCTGAGCTCGGTAGTGATCAGGATGCCGTGAGCTGTCGCGCCTCGCGTCCCGGAGGTGTTCACTACTGGGCAGTCGATGTGAGGACACATGGGGTCGAGGCACAACCTAGCCTTATGCCCCTAGGCCCTAGGCTCCGGGAGCCCAGGCCGCTTGGGGCGAGCATGAGATTGACCACATTCTGCGACCCGGCTCATTTTGGGGGCAGGTTTGGGCTTGTGAGATTTAGGATTGCAAACTTAAGCAGCTGTTGAGGTTGTACCGGCTGGATCCTGGAGAGACACTGCCACTTAAGCCAAATCCAGACGAGGTCGAGGCCAAAATGCGTCTTGTTTCTTTGTCCAGTTGATTTATGGATAAATCGAGTCGAAACTGCTGCAGGACACCCGCTGGCTTACAAGAGACGAATTGAAAGAGGTAGGGCTTGAGCCTCCTTTGAAAGCCTCAACGGTGTCCGGCTACTCATCACTGCAGGCCATGAAGGGATCGGGAGAGATGCCGTTGTGGTCCCCATGGTTTTCAGCCCGGCTTGCTGGATCAGAGAGCTTCTTTGAATCGTCTGTGAGACGTTGCAGTCGTGGTGGGGCTGCCAGCCAAGGTTCAAGATCATCAACGAGCGGCTGTTGGATGCGTGGTGGCAGGACGTCTCCCAAGTTGTGTGGGGCAATGTGGAATGAGGCCTTTGAGCATCCTCCTGAAAGGATTTGGACAATGCTCTTTCGACAGACAAGCTTGGGCTTCAGGCTGCATCGGCAATTCAAGACATCTCCGAGTGCTGCTTGTAGGTACGTCGATGTCTCCTCTATCCATCGTTTCGACACGGCGCCGGAGCGCTAGACCAGCCTGGCATGCCTCGCTGGGCGCTGTCAGGAAGTAGCCGCGGCCGCTCTCCGTTTCGTTCGCCGGGCAGGAGTTCCACGGTGGGCTCGGCAAAGCGCGGCCTTGGTTGGACAAGGTGGCCGAGGTCAGCGGCTAATTTACAGAATGTGCCTATATGGCCTGCTTTCGAGAAGAAGAGCTGCAAGGTAGAGGCAGAAGCCATCAAGGCAGGTGGGGAAGCCGCGGCCTCGAGATATGGAGAGTCTGCTGTCTGCACCTTGTCGAGCCTTGAGGGAGGCACAGCGAGGCAAAGACCAAGTGATTGCACTGTGTTTCTGGAGGCATTGTGTTGTTCTCGAGGTCCAAAGGCGAAAGGCAATGCTAGAGGCTGAGCACGAAGACCGCACCGTTCCCAGAAGCTCGGGAATCTTACCCATCTCCCGTCTGAATCGGTGCAGCCGAGGTGTAGTGGGTTTCGTTGGAAGAGGGCAGGCAGAAATTGGATCTGCTGCAGGTGGGATTCGACTTGCAGCTGCGACGTGTCGCTGCATATGGCACTGGCACATGGGTTTCGAAGGCGATGTCAAGCAAGGGGGCTACGGAAAGGCCATGTTTATGTGCTGGCTAAGGTTGAGGGATGCATCCGAAGCAGAAGCAACACGCTTCAGCAGGTGCCAACACACAAGAACCCAAAGCTGGACCAGCTGATGAGGTGCCACCATGCACGATGCATGGTTTGATGCTGGGACCACTTTGAAGCCACGAACCCATGCAGGCCTTTGGAAATCATTTCGGCTCTTCGTTTGAAGTGCTGGTCTCGACAGGGTGTCCTGACGATGCCGTCTTTGCACGATTCCGATACCGGCCAGCTGCACTTACCTATACTGCCTATACTCAGGTGCACCGGATTGTTAGAGAACAACATCAAGGCGTCGCGCTTTCTTGGTGGATCGAGAGTCGTTCTTTCGTGATGTGGGGCCAAGGATCAGCAGGATCCAGACGTCGAGTTCTGTGACGACATGCTTGGAAAGGCCTGATACCCGACTGGTCAAGCAAATGCAGCCGTCTTTCTGCCGTTGCCGTTCTCAGGTATCCAGATCATTTGCAGCTGTGATCCGACAGCTACCAATGCAGTTGGGCAGGGCTCTCGCCATGTCGTTGGGTACGAAGACAGCAAGCCTGGCCACCGGCCGAGGCATCGACATTTGCATCTTCTACTTGGCCGATGGCTCAATTCCTTGTCTGGAAGATCTGACAGTTTGAGTTGCAGATGAGCCTCGTCAGGCACTTCGTGCTCTAGACACAGTCGAAGATGATATGGAGGCATACAAAGGCGATCGGAGAGATCGGCTTCCGTGTTGCAGAAGACAGGCCAGACATGCCACCGGAGAACTGTAGTGCCCCTTCAGGCCGCGAAACCGAGAAGCAGGAGGAGTTGATCCATTTCGGTGAGAAGAGGCCCTCGACTGCAGTAAACGACTTTTTCTTTATCGGAAGCTGCAAGCTTATTTCTTGCAGCATGCCGGTCCGTCCAGCACCCATTCTTGGATGAATTTGTCTTTGCAGCATGGTGTTGTGGCAGGCTCGGTGATGTCAACTGCAGCATCACAGGCCGATTGCCAGAAGACGGTGCAACCAACTGTGCAGGATTTGAGCACTTGCGAACACCGCTGTGACGTTTGAACGTGATGTCTTGGATCTTGCGCGGACAGCAGAAGTGCCCAATAGGTGTTGGTGCTGCAGACGAACGGACGCTTGTGGAGCACTTCGGGCGCGTGGCCTGGGACTTTGCCGCATGCGGCGAATATGCACTTCTGGTTGTTCCGGTGCCAACATGTGACTGGCATTGGAACAGTCTTTGGTCTCAAGAGACACTGGGGCTGCTCCCACTAGGGAGTACGCGTTGGTCTGACGTTTCGCATTACTTCGCGTGAAAGCAAGTTTCCATGGGTTGTCCAGCCCAAGCTTCTCACTCCGAGGCCCGGGTCTACCTCAAGCTTCCCGCAGGCAGTGGGCAACAGACACCAGTGAAGCAGACGCACCAGTTAGCGTATGATCCAGCGTCCGGAATGTTGCTCGCGGTGTAGATCAGCGAACTCGCAGCTTTGACCGAGTGGTTTAGCAATTGCTTGCATCGCTCGCGGGCATCTTTTGCGAAGGCAGCAAGGGCGTAATCAAGGACATCACCGACAAAATGGGTGCCGGTATGGCCGAGTATGCCTGGCACTCTGGTCTTTAGCTAACTTGTGCTGTCATGCTGAAAGCGTCGATCTGCAATTTCTGGAGGTGTCTGCAGATCTGGCACAAGGAACTGTGGACCAAGCAGCTTACGACCGCCCTGCCGGCATGTGAAACCTGTTTACTGGAATTTCTCAGCGCGAGGCACACTAGCTGCTCACTAGCTGCTGTACATGTATACCTAGGCTACTGCCACATGGTCGCCGGCCTTGTCGGAGAGGGTTTGACACGGATCTTCGTGGCAAGTGGACTTGACACTTGGTGGCATCGATTGCGTGTGTTGTAGGAGTCAGCTTAAGTGGGCTGAAGCCAGTTCAAAGCTGAGGAGGGCAGTGAGCTTGCAGGACAAGGCATGAACCACCGAAATATTCAGAAAGTGCCCGCAGTTAGCGAATGGTTTGGCGACTCCAGATGCTCGTCTAGTTGCAATTGGTGCATGGGCAGGACGAGAATCCCCAAGAAGTCATTCAGATGTCAGTTTCGGAGCGTGTGCGAGAGGCGAAAGATGCTGGCCATTCTGTGTCCCGTGCTTACCTGCATGGTTCGGTGCAATCGGTGATATGCATGCGAATTCGAACCATGTCGAGGCCGATCCAAAGAAGGATCCTGCAAATCTTGGCCTGGCCCCAGCGGCGAAGTCGGGAGAAGCTTCGTGAGAGACACGTTAGGTCTAGCCAACTCCATGGGCCTCTTCTTGCAGAAGACGAACATCATTCGTGATTACTTGGAGGATTATGCACCGGCCCAGGTTTGGTGAGCTAGACGGCCGCAGCAGTTTGCTGCCTCCGCATGTCGGATGAGTTGTGCCGCAAGGTAGATGGACGCGCCTTCTGGCCACAAACAGTTTTTGCCTCGGCTCAGGGCCAGCCGCGTGGTCGACAAAGACCCATATCGCCCAAACCCAGAGAGACGATGTCCAAGCAAGGTCTGGAAGAGCTACGCTTGCTCCAACGATTTGGGCGAGTTTGCTCTGCCCACAGCGCATGCTGCAGGCCATCATGCGCCAGATGGCTGACGATATCATCAAACGATCAATCGGTGCCCGGAGTATTGCAGGAGCCCGCCTTGCAGTTAAAGCTGGGGGCGAGAATCTTGCCAAAGGTGTTGGAGAGCAGGCCTTCTGTGCTTCGACAACCATGGAATGACGTTTCTGGTTTCTGTGCAGGCTCTGCTGTGCCTGAACGACTTGGTTGCCGACGCCTTGGAGCTTGTTCCTGACTCACTAGAGTGCCCCCTGCGTCTTGAGGAAGCAAGCTTGCTTACCACATCACGAGTAAAGAAGCAGCGACAGGCATGTTCGTAATCTGCACGAGTGAACGAGTGTACGACTTTCAGAACTTACAGTAATAGTTTGAGATTCTCCGAATGCGGAGCTCTGCAAAGCTGTCATCGTGTCAGGTACTTGGAGAGGGCCACTCGACTACATGGATTCCTGTGAAGTGTCAAGCATCTTCAAACTGGCCTGCCTCCAGAAACTTGCTGCAATAGCGACCAATTGCATCTTTCCAGAGGTGAAGACGCCGTCTATTTACAGATTCTGCGCCATTCCCCAGGTGTGGTCTCAAGCTCCACTCAAGCAATCAATTAACAGACAGCAAGGTCATGGCAATTGCAACCTTGGCGGCCTGTTTCGATAACCCCTTGGTGTGCGCGGCTCAGAGTGAGTTTGGAGGTCATGCGCTTACTTTCTTGGAGCACTAACTCTTGTAAGGTTCACCGGCGTTGTCAAGATTCGCAAGGGGCTGACTGCGCGTCTCATTGTGGCATGCTGCGATGGTCCGGATGCTGCACAGCACTCAGAATTCCTTGGGAACTCTGCCTTGAGTCTGAAAGCATCATCATGGTTTGGATGCGATCGATCGGGTTCATCAGCGGTTACGGGTGTCCCGTCCCGGGTGAGTACCAGAAAGCAAGTGCACGATGCTGATTTTGCTTTGACTTTGATGCAGAACAACTCACAACAGCGAAGGTACACTTTTGGTTCCGATCCTTCGCAGAAGAGATTCTGTCTTCGGTTTCGCTGAGTGCTCAGAGTTTCCAAAAAGGTTCTGCTTCTAGCGCCTTCGAAGCGGCATTCTCGACACAGGAACAAAAAGTGCGCTGGAGCTGCCGGGCCCATCGGAAAGCGGCTCGAAAAGAGCTGTGTGCGCATCCTTGAGAGGACTTGGAGTTGTTTCTGCGCAGCCTTACAATGTAGTTGCTTGAAAGGGGTAGTCCATGAGGTGATGTTTGTCCTTCCTTGGCATGAAAGCTGCCTGAACGGCAGGACGCAGAAGCGATCGGAAGCCTGGAGGAGCAAGCAGACGCAGGCAACATTTCGTGATCTCCAGGGCCATGTCTCTCATGTGCGTCTGCGCTGTTGCCCACACACACATATACCCACCTATGCACCAGAAGCGCTTCGTCGCTGGCGCGTTTACTGCGCTGGCAGCTTCGACCTCGTCTGCAGATGTGGTCCGCTGCCCTGCCCGAAATGTGGATTCGCTGAGGTCTCCTCCCTTTTCCTGCGTGACCAAAGCTCGAGGCTCCCTGCCGTGGCCATCTTTGCGGCACTTGTGGCATCCAGCGCAGGTAGCATGCAGCTCATCAAGTGAGTGTTGCATCGGTTGCTTTTGTGAAGCTGGGTGCCGCGTGAACCAGCCATACAGACACACACTGACACTGACACTGACACACACACACGCACACACATACATATATACGCACTGATCGAGTGTGGCTTCGCCGGCACCTTTGCCGGCGTGTCCCTTCTTGCAGGGTGTGGTTGATACAGTGCGCTGATGAGCTCTGGCACGAAGTCTTGACGGAAGTGGACGTGGATGCCCACATCATAGAGTTTGGAGCTGCTGTCATCTCTGTTGCAAGCAGGGCTGTGTTTTCCACAGTTTTCTCAATTTTCCAGTCTCGGGCCCCGGGGGCGATTCCCTGACGATGTTCAGCCTGAAGTCGCCTTCAGTGTGAGCCCCGCGTTAACGTGCACAGTCGGACTGGTGTCTCAAGATGGCCTCAGAAGCAGAGCCTGCAGTGAAGATGCGGTTCACAGCCGCTTACAGTAGCCCCAGTCCGTGTGCTTCGATAAAGCATTGCCACTTGCAGCCGCTCTTGTGACAGGTCTTGCCTGACAGGGACCTTCCGAGAAGACTGATTGGTGGAACGTATGTGTGGTTGGCACCAGCGCCGCCAGCACACATGCCCATGACTCTCACCCACTCTCGCAACTTGCGTTTATTTTCAAACGCACCACGGGGTAGAAGCATCCATCAATCCTGGGCCTCTTCCCCCTGCGGCCCCGTCCTCAGCTTCGAAGGCCCTTTCTTTAGGGCTTCAAGCTCCACCTTTCAGTCATGGCAGGGTTTAGGGGCTTCAAGGGATTCAGGGACTTTGGGGTTGAGAGGTTTGAGGGTCTTGGGGTGTTCGCGACTCTTTGGGTTTACGGCTTTTTAGGGATCCGGATTGGCTTCTTAGGGTTTGGGGTCTCAAGCTTGTTTGCAATTTGCAGGGTCACGAGATACACTGAGGCTTCGGGTTTCATGGATTTGCTGCGTCTTGGATAACGGGGTATAAAGTTTAGGCCTCAGGCAGAGCACCGGGCTTCGCTTGTAGCCTCGAAGCTTTTGCAAGGTTGGTTTTGATTTTGCTTCTTGTGGATTTGTTTTGCCGTGGCCCAAAGCAGTGCTCGTTCTCGTGATCGAGCTGCAACTTGACAACAGCAGCAATGCAGACTTTCTCAGACAGCTACTCTGTGGTGCGCACGGCAAGGCCGATTCGACAAGCCTTAACTATTAACGTGCCTAAGTATCCTTCGGCGAAGTTGCCAGCATGTCGCGGATGCCGTGGAGTGGCTTTGCGACAGGGACGAGGCTCTGCCAGTCTGCCACGCCGGGGCCGGTTCTTTATGACTCTTGGCCTCTTGGCAAATACACTGCGTATCTGCGGGGAGAGACTGAGCTGAAAAGACGGCGCCAAGCCCATTGAATGTGCGTTTGCCTGGTGCAAGCGACTCAGGTGTAGACATGGGGTGGAAATCCTTGGGGCTCCGATGCTGTTCCAGTTGAACCAATGCCGAAGGCGACACCGAGTCATGGACCCAAACGAGCAAGGACTGATGCAAGGCTTGAGCAGACGAGCCCTACGGGCAGTCAGCCAGCGTCTTCAGCTTCCGCGCCACCACCACAGCCAGAGCAAGAACGCAGTGTGGAAACCGATTAGATGGAAGTTCCTCTACCCGACGGCACCGTCGAATACACTTACGACTTTAGCAAGGAGGACTTGAGGCACTGCAAAGGGTAAGATTGTTCACACGTCCGACGACCCCGACAACTACCCTTTCGCATACGATGACACTCCGAAGTACAAGCCAAACGAGGAAGAAGGAACTTTGCCTATCGAGCACTACTTCAAAAGAGTGGTTACGCACCTGGGACGTTTGCAGTCAGTGACTCAGAACACAGTTGATGGGCTATCTGTGAAAGCCTATGTCAAGATGGGCACACCAAAATGGCTGCAGATGTATGCGCGACTGTATCACGGTTGCAACCTCGAAACATGTGAGCATTTGCCTTCACCAGCTATGGTTACAGTTGCCGCACTTGTGAGGAACGAAGATGATTTGACGAACGACGGAGATAGGATGTGACGGCTCAGCGAGCAAATGTGGTACGAGCAGCGAACGACATCAGGAACAGTTCGGCGATGGGAGGAAGAGCTGATGCTACGCTTATACGGGCGCAAGATACCTTCTTAGCTTCAGACTTCGAGATGTATGCCAAGAACAAGCAGACGGTGTTTCTCTATCCGAAGCATTGCTCGGAAAAGGGTGGTACAACTTGATCAAAGTGGCACCGAACCTGTACTTCCCCGTGGACTACGAAAGCACGATCAATGTTCTCAGACTCCTGAAGCAGAAGATTCAAGCTCTCACTGAAAACCGAAGATCCACAGCGACGGTTCATATTCATCTATGCCTGCAAGCAATCGTGTACGAGAACATGGCTATTCCGATGAGTGATTCTTCCGTGGACGCCTACGACGACATGGAAGCAAACTCTTAGACGTGTCTACATCGACAACATCAAGGAGATCATAGCACTCGTACCGAGACCACCCCTTGTGATGATCAACCACGACAAGCGCTTCTTTGCCTGTGCGCGTGGAACCATGCGAAGACGCGAAGATTTTCCTGGATATGCGAGAGCATGCTCATTCGTTGCCATGGAACTTCGACTTTGGGGCTGCGTGGTAGTTCATGGTTCATCATTCTGGTGCAAAATGGTCAGCTCGCTACATGGTGCAGAGTACGGGACCCACGTCATCAGCACGGAGACGGTTTCCAACAGTGACCCCCATCACCATCATTACAGGCCATTTGCAATCTACGAGAAACAATTGTTTTGCGAAAAGATGATTGCCGCGTGCTAATGGACTCAGAGATTTTGAAACGGTGTCAAGTTCTGCTACATTGCAAGGCAATCGACATCCCGCGCTTCAAGGAAATCTGGTCGGACAACACGCAACTCCGCTTTGCCTCCACCATGAACTCCCGCGACTGGGTACCTCCAGACAGGTTACGCACCGTGGAGGAACAAACCAGGCGCAATGACGACGGCAGGCGTTCTGGCAGGATATGGCAAAACTTCGAAGTATCTCTTCGGATTCCGGCGCCAGTGTATTGCCCAGAACAGTATTGGTTCATGATCGATGAGTACTGCGCTGCATCCCTGGCAGGTTCAGGAGCGAACGGCAGGGTCTTCTTCTGCTATGGTTGCGAGAATCAGAAAGAAGAGTCAAGATTTTGTCAGGAGAGTACAACGTTCTCTCCAGTCAACGCATATCCTGAACGATGTATCGGATGCGCCTTTAAGCATGCTCACCACGCATCGTACTACAAGTTCAAGAACTACGGAGAACTTCGTGAATCGGAGTCGTACTCGCTCGCATGCGCATATCACATCTACGTCAACGACCTGCAAGATGTCCGACCCAGTGACGATCTGAAGGAGTTACTCCGCAGATGTTGCCCAATCGCCTACAAAGCAGTGGGGACGGTTGTCTCACCGTATGGAGGGATAAGATCTACCCCAGAATATGCGTTGGTCTATCCTATTTGGGGAAGAGCCAAACAATTGTCGTGGAATCGGGCGTATGGCCAAGCAGGTCACCTTTGCTACATTGCTTACTACGATGCTGGAAATGCTGCATATGCAGGTTTCATCAAGACGTTGCTTTCTCCACAAGAAAGAATCGAACTATTCCGAGGGAATGAAAATCCGCATGAAGACTTGCTGGGAGGCGTTTTTGAGCTTACGCTGGGCTTTCTCACATTCGCAATTCGCTTCCCAGGTCTGTTCGATCGATGGGGGGACGCCGACACTGTCAATGCCTGCATCAATGGGTTTGAGAAATGCTTCATCAGGTATTCTGCGAGAGAAAGCATTACACTCATCACAGCAAGGACACCAAAGAAACGAAAACCGGCGAAGGCTGATCCTGAGATTGAAAAGGAAGTACAGGAGATCCTCAAAGCTTTGCCATCAAGTCGTTTCTTGGCTGTGCCTGCATCCATCACGTTACAACCCACACTGGGGGTAACTGGCAGTGAGGCACGTGGAGTGGAAGACACATATTTTGATTCTTCCCAAGGTGTGGAAGTGCCTCGCCTTGTTCCAGATGATTCTATGGATCCAGATGGACAACCGGACGAGGAAGAGATCGCCGACACACCACAAGACCTCAACATCGCCAACGCCGCGAAAGCAAAAGCATGGGATGCTCTCAATATGCTTTTCAACGGCAACATTTGGGTCAACGAAAATACTGCAGGGACGCTATGCATATTGTGCGGAAGTCCTGACCATATATTCGCAAATTGCCGTGCTGATGATCAATTGCGTCAGCAGATGACATTGGCATTTGACCTCGTCAAAACCGCCATTGAATCTCACCCAGATGTGTTACCATTGTCAGGTTCTTCGCCGGCTCCTCGACCACAACGTGGAGAGAGAGCGGCAGGTTCCAACGACAACATGGACGTGGAAACCGTCGCCTCATCCGGCAGAAGACCAAGAGCAAAAGCAAGACCCCGGCGGAGGGAACTTCATCATCCGGAAGGGATGTTCATCGTGAATTATGACAACGGCAGGAATTCGTCCGACACTGTGCATCGCAGGAGAGGGGACTACAACTATGTATGCGTAGAGGACATCTCTCAGATCGGCCTAAGGGGCCATGATGCGGTCCTCGAATGTATCCGAACAAGCGCATCGCCACGGGATATCTCTCTCCCACAACGAGGCGACCGAAGAATCTTCCGACGGAACGACGATCGGTCACAATCTGGATACGAGAATCCTGGATACAATTGCATTTCCGACGGTGTCTACGGCGGCATTCTTGAGAAGCTTCCCACAAAAAAAGCACAATTCTGTCATCCAGCATGGGACAACGTTACCGCCGAATGAGTACACATGGTTCGCGAAGGACGCAGCCAAAACGGCGCTTCGGTTCATCCAGAAGGACCTCAGACACCACATTGGACGGGAGGACAGAGGAATCTATCTGCGCAACTCACCGATTCCCACCATTCTATGCGATGAAGGCGGATGGGTGAAGTTGGATTGGTTACTGTCCTGCGAACTTCTTTGGACCCACTCTGAACGAGAGATTGGATGCCGGCTCTCGAGAACCAGCCGCACTGATCGCAACAGACAACTGCAGCGAAGATTGCAGCTCCTTGTTGGTACCCAACTACAAGAGCGGTGATGGAAAACTTCGTTTGCAATTCTTGGGCGTCAGACTGGCACCAAGTCCGAATCCAGATGCTGTGGCGGCTGGGGAGCCACCACTTTCACAAAGGATGGTGGGAGTGGAAACGCCATACCAAGAACTTCAACGTGACCAAGAAACCCAAAACATTGGGCAGGATTTGCTCCAGCAAAATGACAATTGGATCAAACCTTGGGCCATCAGAGCAGCATCGGGACATTCCCATTCCAGGTCGACAATTATGGAACTCGACCCTTCAAAGTTTGCATTGTCAGCATCACTTTCTCTCTTGAACCAGCTTCAGGGGGCGTACCACGCTACCGAATACTACAACCTTCAGATGATCATGACCCAAGGCATCAAGACAGGCAGAGATCTGATGGGTCAACGTGGCTCTTCCGGAATTCTGCACAGCTATTGGGCAGTGTTTCCACCTTGGGACCCGAGGAACAAAGTGACGCGCAGCAGATCTGGATCAGATCAGCGGACACCGATGGTGACGCTGTTCATTCCAATTGGAGAAGGAGGCAAAATGACCGAAAGTGGAGTCATCATGTGCGAAAGGACCATACCGTTTTACCTGGTGAAAGAGATTTGGCTATGCACTCCGGACACCGAGCGTAGACACGGCTACGAGCAAGTGGAGAAGATCGTTGATTACGAACTCGAGGACGAGATTTGTACGGATTGGCAGCGGCCATTGACACCAGTTGCAGAAACAATGCATTCCCGTCGCAGCCTCGAGAGACTTCTGAACTTTCTCTGTGAGATGCCAGGGACTTCATGATGGCATGAAGGCCGACATCGTCGCCAGGCTATCGGAGTATTGCGGCTCAGATTGGAACGAAGTAGGCTGGAATAGACATCTATGTCGATGCAGTCAACTTCCTCATCATTCACTCTCCTCATCATTCACTCTCCTCCTCCAAGGAACGCAAGGACAAGCCGCGACACGGACATCAGGTACAGATTCTGCCCATGGTGTCTCAGCAGTACACCTTCGTGCTTATCAAGATGCGTGCTATGCTTCTCAGTGATGATATCCCACGGGAAACACCAACGAATCGAAGGTCGTGCCGACACTCCCATGGAGATACCTCGACAAGAAATCGCATGTGCCCTGGAAGAAGCGGATGCAGTGGAGGACGACAATGTGGTTATGGAGGATGAACCACAACCCGAGGTCGACAACGATGGTGATGCTCGTATGGATAATGAAGATGCACGTACAGTCGCTGAACCAGAGATGGAGATCGACGTTGATGAGGCAGAAGGAGAAGAACACGCAGCGGAGGTGCATTCACGACGACCAGTGCTTTTATCCGACACAGACCTCCATGTGGACCAAGACCTTGCACACCTTCAACAAGGGCTTAAGGTGCAAATCTACAGTCACCTCGAATCGGCAAGTCTTATTGATCCATCATCTGACTATGCTCGTTACATGGCGTATCTATGATTGTTCACGTGATTTACAAGAACTGGACAGGCGCCCGATGGTTGGACCTTCCGAATGCTAAGGCGAAGGAGATGTTCGACGATGGCAAGCGGCATGATGCAGGCCCTTGGGGACACTTATCTGAGGTCGATCCCAAAAGCGGCGTATCCCGAGATGTCACTGACGAGGAAGTGCTTGCTTACGGAAGAAGCTTGGGAATAGAAGAAGATCAGACAGGAAGCCACCTTCTCAACAGGCTCAAGTCGAACCAGTTGATTTCCCAGCTTATACGTGGAGCCATTCAACTCGGCTACCAACGGCAACACTTCAAGGTCGAGAACCACATGCGAGAAGGGCAAACCTTTGACACGCCCATGGTACACTCCAGCTGTGCTATGTTGTTATCCAAGCTCGTCGCCAAAGTCATGGGGTATCGACAGTACACCGTGCTGGCTCCGCGAGCAGAAACTGGTCCAAACTACGTGTTGTGCATCGATCCGTTCGGCATATGCATGCTATAAACGTGGGACAACTGTTCCCTACAACTTTTGACGATGATGATTGACTTGAAATCCCTATTCAGGCGAAGTACACTGCGAAGTTGACCAGAGCTCGCCAAGCAGGAGCCAACATTTACCAAGGAGACGCACTGCGACACATTCCTGGAGGCAGTCTACTACCACCTGGACATCGCAGTATCCTTGATCAAGCAGTGACACCGGAGGAATCAGCTGAAGCGCAACAGGCCTATGCTACCGCGAAGGCCAAAGCAAAGGCCAAAGCCAACGCCAAGGCAAAAGCTCCTCCGGAACCGCCTGGACCGCCCTCGAGAAGAACGTTGGCGTCGAAACCAGCAGACTTATGAGCAGCGATGGCAACCGGGACACTAAGGAATCGTCGTTGGGACAGTGATCGGCGATGTGGGTGATGATCTACGTGAACTGTGTCGCCACCATTGCCTACAACCCCGCGTGTGGACATGATGTCATGCACCACTTTTCGTGCATTTGATTTTTGTGATTCCTTCAGTCTGGCCAGAGCTAGGGATCGCACTTGACGTTTTCATGTCCCACTGCAAGATTAATTAAGGCAGAACGTATGCGCTGAAAGCCAATACACCGTTGAGCATCAATACTTTTTCTTACGTCTCTCTTCCTGTGTGTGAGCGAAGCCTAAGGCCTGACTCATGGGGGGTGCGAAGAAATATCGAAGCCTAGTGCAATTCTGTTGTGAGCTATGTTGCTTCATTTACATTCAAGCTTGGGAGGATGATATCCACCAAGCGAGGCACAGGTCATGGGAGCCTACGGACACCATGAACCGGCCTATGAACAGCTCAACAAATCGGTGTTCGGCTCAAGGTTCAAGACCAAAAAGTGACTCAGCACTATCCTGCGATCCGTTTGCCATAGCTCATGCGTGCTGCCTTCTTGCATAGAGGACGCACGCCCGAAGTGGAAAAGGAGTTGACCGAGTTTGCTTGCAAGGGACTGTTGTCATGTTCATTGGAAGCACTACATCTATTACAACATCATTACGCTCATCTGAGGGGAGCAAGGTTATACGCAACATCGTGAACCAGACCCTCACGCATGAAGCCTAAGTTGTCTAAGGCTACGGCTGAAAAAACAGAGCCATGAGGCCTTGATCCAAAGCCCCTCCCGAGGCGCGGACGGCAGACTTCAGACAGGACATTGCGAGCAACACCGACGTCATAGTGTTGCCAGGGTTCATCGGACCTCCCAAAACGGCCCTGGTAGCGCCTTGAGCATTATGATGCACTAACACGTTTTCGTTCATTCCCAACAGCCGCCGCCAAACGACAGCTGTGGACTCAGAGTGCTACAAGAAGACCCAACTGCTGGAGGTCCGAAGCCACCTGCTACGCGGCGCGGGCTGACCAGCAGCCGAAAAAAGGGATCTCAGCTTCTACTGTGTAGTGATGATTGCTGTTTGGAGCGGCTGCAGTCCCCACAAAGGTCCGAAGGTCACGGTCACGTTCTTCGACAGCTTTGCGGCTGCATTTGGCTCAGCCTGTTCATTGCGCATCTTCTGAGCGATCGCACTTGCAGTTTAACGAGATGAAAGTTGCTTCGTCAGCAGCAGCTCTTCCGACCGCGGTAGAGTGCACTGGAGTCCAGAAGACAGATACGAGACCTCGAGAAATTTGCTCGTCTGAACGAGCCATGGTGGGTAACCAAGAATGGCCCAGCGAGGCGTGGCTTTTTTATCGGGGCACGGCCTGCTGCAGATCTCAGCCGTCTGTGCGAGTACATCCCACATTTGGGCCTGCGCGCAGTGCCGCTCTCTTGGGTAATCGCACCAACTCCCGGTCCTGCCAGGGCCCCGTGTGGTACCTGCAGCAGGATGTCCAAGTCGCCCTGCTCTGGAACCAGCCTCTTGTAGCAAGACGGATATTGGCTTCTGGATGCAATCGTGTTGGTAGGGTTCCAATCGCCAAAGTCCCCGAAAGGTTTCGGCCCCGCTTCAGTACTCGTATGGATTTTCATTGTCGGAACTTCCGTTTGGAGTGGGCTGAAGCCTCGACATGCTTCGCACTGAAGAAGCTAGGCAGTGGCCCGAGGCTGAATGCAGTGATCTCCCAGCTGGCGCAGAGCAATCAGCAGCTTTGCCTGCCGGGAGCCGAGACGTGGACTCCAAGTTCAAACGAGATGTTGCAGATCGAGTTGTAAGCATGCGAGCCGTGTCAGCCGACCCTGTCCGTTTGCGAGACCAGGCAGCAGAACCTGATCCTCGGTCTGCAACAGCAGCCAGGGCCTGAAAATCAGCCAACGAGCGAGGGCTCCACGATCTCTGTTTCGATGGACGGCGCAGGTCATTTCATTGCTGCTTGCAGCGGGATGCGGACCACAACCTAATCTCGAAGCTTGCGGAAAAGCTCTTGGAGTTTGAGTCACGTGCTGGCCCCGCAGAGCCCCTTGGACAGGCATCTGTTTTTGCCTCCCGCATGTGTGCGCAGGCAATGCACCCAGCGCACTCTGCCGAGGCGCCAGAAAGATAACAGGGACACAGAAAGCACCGACGCTGGCAGCCCTGGCAGCCCTGGCAGCTCTGGCAACGAAAGAGAAGAGAGCTTCGTCGATGCTGACTCGACATTCGTCCGTGACATGTCGGAGGCGGACTTTGGCTCTTGGCTAGTTCTCGGGGAGAGAGGGGTACGAAGCGGGATTGCTCCTTTATCGCACTTCGGCCAGCTGAGTTCACAGCATGCCACAGTGGGGGGGCGGGGTTCGACCCTGGTGCAATAGGCTACTTCGTGACGGATTTCTTAGCTAGCCTGCAAGAAGGACTGGGAATCATTGATCGTCCCCCCGAGCCCAGTTTGCTGTCCACATCAGGCGGCGCACTAAAACGGAGCCTTTGGATTCAACAGTTGGATCAACATGCGGAATCATGGAACATCATGGAACTCTGGCACAATGGCAGATCTGCTCAAACACCATCCGGGACGGCATATACGCAGGTGGCAACGGAGGGCGCGCCTCCAATTGCGCATGCCGGCACTGCACGGAGCCTTGGGCAGCAATCTGCTTTTTTTTAAGACTCGTCCGTGGGTGCTCGCAGGCGATGCACCCTTGCGTCTGCTGCCGAGGAGCTCGGAAGCGGTGGCGGACATGCGAAGCACCGGGAGTGGCAGTGGCGGCGACTCTCCCGTGGAGGCAGGCTTTGTGTTGTCTCTCCTTACAGAAGCACGTCGCAGGTTCAGGTTTGCAGAAGGCTGCAGCCTCAGGGCTCAGCGGAAGACTTGCATGGTCGCTCGTCGAAACAGAATAGTACCGGTGGGACGGATGCTGGCTGAGCTTTCTGAGCAAGTCAGTCTGGTGTTGGTGGCATCATCACTTCGCATCCTGTACAGTAGGGCGCCGACTGTCTTGGATGAGGGTTTCGAGACACACCCCGTTGTCGTGGCCCTCTTCGGCAATCATTGCAGAACCGCATGACTACCCGAAGTTGGTCCAAAACCTCGGTGATTGCCACATCCCCCCCCCCCCTGCAAGAAATCTCCACGACCGCTCACGAAGTGGCATCCTCAACTCTGCTTCCTGCAACCCGGTCTGCACGAAGCACGCAGCAGGCTGAGGCCGCTGTCACGTGTGAGGAGGGAAAGACGAGACGCTCCATGTAAATGTGAAATGTGATCCACAAGTCCAGCGAAACAAGTGCGATTGCAGGCGCCCGTGGACACGGAGAGCGTGACTCCAACACCTGCTGCCCTCTGGCTGCGGCTGCCAATCTGCCAAGACCAGCGCGGTGACCACAGCTGCGACGTGCACCTCGCTTGCAGTGAACATCCGTGCCTCGGTCCCGGGACTTGCTGAAGCACTTCCTCAGGCCTGACTGCTGCCCTGTCGCTCCCACGACACCCCTCGGCACTGCACAGTGCCTTTGGCAGCAATCCATTTTTTCCCGGGGAGTGCTTGCAAGATCTTGCGGCACGCTGCTGCCGAGGTGCCAGGAAACTCCGTCGGAAGAGCCGTGCTCTAGAACCGACCTTGTGAGGGAACGCTCATCAGTGTCGTCGGCACTGCTGAGGCCCCCCAAGAAGAGGCCAAGTCTTCTGAGCACCGAAGCCCCCGACGACGATGGCCCAGAGATCGAGGATGAAGAGGGGCTCCTGCGTCGGAGACGGGCTTTGGCCGGAAAGCAGTTGTGTGGTTTCAGGGGTTGTCAGATTTGGCAGACGGCTTGGGTTTGTCTCAAAGTGCAGCAGACTTGCACACTGTGTGGCCGAGCAGGAAGCCCACGGCGAAGGGCAACAGCAATGTGGTGGTGACCGGCAGGCCTCGAGGGTCCTACTTTACTCCCTTGACTCCGTGGTCCCAGGGGAGAAGTCACTACAGAAAGCACCTTGCAAAGTTGTTCTCAAGCGATAACTCGGCCGATCCTTGAGCTATCAGCAAGCTATCAGCATGCTATCAGCAATATTTGCAAACGCGGGCTCGGACTCACGGGAGGGCCCGTTGAGCTGAGCTACCCGAGAAGACCTCAAACGAAGTAAAGTACAGGGCCAGGGCCGCAGAGAATCATCCCATGTCCGAAGTACAGTGCTTCAGTTCCAGGCCTTCCCCTGGTAGTGGCAGATAGTATGAAGGCAACTGGGCCGGCTTACACCTAGCTGTCAGTTGAAGCCCTGGCCAAGCCAGAGGATGCCGATGGCCGTTTTTTCGTCGACGAGGGCAGGCTGGTGATCTTTGCCAGTGAGTCCGAGCGACCCGTCTTGATCTAGTGCTGCCAGTAGCAGTGGTCGTGGCTGGCTGTTCTTCAGTCAAGCACTGCCCCACAAGGTCCACAGGATCCCGAGAAGGCAGCGTTGATGCATCATGCCAGACGGACTGCGACATCTGCACTGCCTCTTGTCGCAAGGCCACGATGCATTCCCTCACGCACATATGACAGATCCCGGCACTGTAAGCCTTATTCCGCGGCACCAGCACCGGCCCAGCGGGCAGCGCCAGCCCTTCAACAACCCCCCCCCCTCCTTTGGCGTTGCGCCCGCATTTGGCGATCCAGGTTGATCACATATCTGAAACTCGCCCATCCCGATTCACAGTTCACATAGGCTTGAACCCACCTCTCATCAGGCCCTCCTGGTTGATCAGATATCTTAAGCCCGCCCCTGCGTTTGGCAATCATTTGGCGATCCAGGTTGATCACATTTACTGTAAACCAGCCCTTTCTTTGGATCCAGGTAGACTACATTTCTTAAACCCGCCCCCTCAATTGGTGGTACCGGTTGATCAAGTATCTTAAACCCGCACCCTCATGTGGCGATGCAGGTTGACCACATATCTTAGACCCACTCCCCTTTGGCGATGCCGGTTGGTCCCGTTTGTTTTACCTTACCCCCTCATTAGGCGATCCTGGTTGATCACATATCTTGAATACGCCCCCTCATATGGCGATGCCGGTTCATCACATGTCTTAACCCCGACCCCTCCTTTGGCGAAACAGGTTACTGGCGTTTCTTAAGCCCCCCTCCACTTGGCGATGCAGGTTGATCACATGTTTTGAACTCGCCCCCTCCTTTGGCGATCCAGGTTCATTACATATCTTGAACGCGCCTCCTCATTACTATGTGATCGCGATTGATCGCATATAAATGAGGCCATCCCGGTCGCATATCCAGAGATGTTGACCACATATCTTAAACGCACCCCCTCTTTGGCGATGTCGATTGATCGCATTTATAAATTTGGCGACGCAGGTTGACCCCCCTTTGGCGCCGCCTGTTGATAGCAGTCTTGAAACGCACCCGATCAAGTTTCACTACTGTACTTATCTTAAGCACCCCCCCCCCCCTATTCGATCCCGGTTGATCACATTTCTTAAATCCCGACCCCTCTTTCGGCGATGCTGTTTCATCACGTGTTTGAAACATCCTGAAACCAGCCCCCGCATTCGGCGGTTGATCGCATTCTTCAACCCGCCCCCTCATTTGGCGATCCCGATTCGTCGCATATCTTGCACCTGCCTCTCATTTGGCAATCCGGTTGATCACATACCTTACAGCCTTACACTCGCTCCCCCATTCGGCGTTTCAGGTTGATCACATCTCCTAAGCCCACCCCCTTTGGCGCTAAACCCGCCCTATCATTTGGCGATCCAAGTCGATCACATTTCTTAGCCCGCCCTCTCGTTTGACGATCCCTTTCCACCACTTGTCTTCAAGCGATCCCGGCTGATCACATTTCTTAAACCCTCATTAGGCGGTCCCAGTTGATCACATTTCTTCAACCCGCCCCCTCATGAGAGGCGATCCCGACAGATCACTTATCTTCAACCCGCTCCCTCGCTTTGCGATCCCGGTTGATCACATATGTTCAACACAGCGCCAGAACCAACGCCCGCCATCCTGAACTCATGCAGCGCAGCGCCAAACGCCGCCAGACCTTCCCCAGAAAAGCGCAGCACAATCGCCCGCCACAGCGCCAGCGCCAGCGTGACCTCCCCTGCGCATGCAGTGTCAGTGCCAACGCCCAGCCATTCATTCCCAAGAGCGCCGGGAATTAGTCTATCCCGTTGCGTGACCCGATGCTGCATTCAGAGCCGAGCAAGATTAGCCGAGGACTGTGGCCCGTTCCAAGAGACTTCCGCGACGCTGTGTTCGACGTTGTCTTTCCACTCGCAGACGGAAGCTGGGTAATCAAGATCCATGTAGCTGTTACAGTAGGCTTGAGAGCTGCCCAGAGATGACTGAAAGATCTGTTACAACCAGAAGGCTCAACGCATCCCAACGCAAGGAGCTTGCAGACGTCGAGGTTGGCGGTGGCGAATGCACCCCCTCCGACCTTCTTGTGCACCTCGTCTTGTGTCTGCGGCCTGCTCACATGTTTTCTGCAGCTCCATTGCAACGTCTGTGCCGAGCGATCCTCAGGGCAGACCTGTTGCCGTACCTGACCGCGGCTTGGTTGCGAAATGTTGCGAAGTGGCCAGTGGCCGGGATTGTCGACGAGCTGTTGCAGGGGTGTTCTTGTTGAGATTTTCTCTCTGCAGCACAGGTCCCGGAGCTGCTGAACTGGCGCCTGCTTTCGCGACGCACCAGAAGCCCCGAGGCCCGCACTCTGCCTCCCTCCGCCTGCTTCGTTTCTTGGAGGCGACTGCTTGAAAGATGTGCACGTGCTGCTACCAGGCCTTGATAGCGCGCGTGGCCGAGATCGGCAGCATGGACAGGCCCGGCAGCGTCGTGGCATGTGGAACGAGCCGCATCCGGTCTTCCCACACCACACGCCGGTGTCTCGAGAGGCGACGGAAGTATCTGGCTGTTGTCAGTTTGCGTGTCGTGACAGGCCGGAAGCAATTGTCGCCTGCTCGGAAATGTTCACCGGTAGCCCGGATACATCCTTCGACGCCGAGAAGGAGAAGTTGTACAGATGCCTCTTGACTGGTTGATAGGATCCACAGCCAGCACATGAAGTAGATGTGAGTTCGATTATGTCTTATTGGTCTTTCGGCGAGTGTGTAACTTGGGAATGTCGGCTTCCTTGTGTAAAGACCCTGGGACCATCTGAACCTTACCTCACATTTACCTCCTTCTTTCTACTAGTAGCAGATCATCACCATACCGATTTCAAGCGACTGCTTCATTCTGAGGTCAGTGTTGGTGCACCGCCTTGGCGTCCAAGCGAAAAACCCATTTTGCTGAAGACCACGTTCACCGTGTTGTTGGCAAGACTGCAAAGTTTGCTTCGGCACTGGAGGAGTGCGGATGCATCCATTGCTTCCGCCGCCAGTGACATTCTGTATAACTACACTTTTGATGCTATCCCTTTCGTGCAGCAGCCTATTGCAGAAGCCTCGCTCGCCCTGCTGGAAGATTTGCTGGAGACCAACATTGTCGCCAACCTGGACACCGTAGATGCTTGCACCGACAACCTTGTGATGTTACTGCGCTCGCTGAGCAAGCCTCAACGTCAGAAGTGGGTGTCCCTTACAGTCAAGATGCTGCTGGACCATCGCCTTAAGAAAGAGGAACCGATCCGCACGCTGCAAATGTTATGGCTGGCTGATGACGCTCCCAGGCAAACCTATGCAGAAGCAGACCAACAGCTGCGAATTTTCGCCAAGTCCGCCCCCAAAGATTTGAAAGTGAGGCTGTTGCCTCTCCTTGAAAGCAGCTGAAGTCTGCCTCCAAGTTCGCATCAAAGAGAACTGAGTGTGCTTGTGCCACCTTCGGAGCAAACTTCTCTTTCTCTCTTGCCATGCAACAATACTCTGACGGGTGCCAGACCTTTGGCTCGAACCCGTCCTTCTCGGATCCTCGTGACTCTCCAGGCGGGTATGAAGTTCAAGCTTTGTTTCGAGATAGCTAGTAGCTTCTAGCATGAGCATCATCATCATCATCGTCATCGTCGTCGTCATCGTCATCGTCGTCGTCATCATCGTCATCATCATCATCGTGATCATCAGCATCGTCATCGTCACAATCATCACCATCATCATCACTCAATGTCATCATCATCATCATCATGATCGTCGTCATCATCATCATCATCGCTATCGCTCAGTGTCATCACCATCGTCACAATCATCGGCATCGTCATCGCCATACCAACCATCAGCCGCATCATCATCACCATCATCATCATCAGCAGCAGCATCGTCGCCATCATCATCAGCATTCCCATCATTATCGCGGAGAGCATACATGTCACTGTCACTGACTTCACCATGTATACATCGTCACCAACGGCATTTTCATTTATGATGGAAAGCACCCGGTGCACAGGCAGAGTAGGTCCTTACCACGACAGGGTTTAGGTGCACACTGACAAGCTTGCCAACCACAACCACATGCTTTTTTTCACTGACAAGGGTATAGGCGGGCCTTATTTTTGGCAAATTTCAACAATCACATCCACCAAAAATGGTGATTCCCCCGCTTATTTGGGGAGGGCACGCAGGAATATTCGAAACAAGGTCCCTCCTCCAGCAAGCAGGGGCGACGAGCGGGAATCACCATTTTGCTGTTTTCGCAGACCAAATCCTCCAACATAGATTCCCCCGCATGTGGGGGGGGGAATGGGGCAAGGCGCGGGACTCACGAATTTGGCACATTTAAAGCTCGAATCTACCCACCCCTCTCCCGCCGACACGTGGAGGAATCATTATTTTGGAGGATGTAGGCTCTTAAAAACGCAAAATGCTGATTCCCACGCGTCCCCTTTCGCCTCTCCTGCCGATGCGGGGGACTATTTTGAAGGTTTTCGGCTGTGAAAATGGCAAAAAGACCAGTTCAGAGGCATCTGCACCGAAAGACCAGCTGATATGCGCTGCTGCTGCCGCTGCTGCTGCTGATGTGTCCTGCTGCTGCTGCTGCCGCTGATGCCTTGTCGTGGTGAGGTTTTCATCCCTTATCGTGGTTGAGGTTTTTCATGCCTTGTCTTGGTGAGGTTTTCATGCGCCGTCGTGGTAAAGTTGTGTTTCTGTCGTGGTGCAAATATTTTTTGTTATGGTGTGGATTCCTTTTGCTGTCGTGGTAACCACGCGCTCCCTGTGCACAGGATGCAGGGCCGGAACAAGAAGAAGTACCAGGCGGGATCCTGGTCTCCGGTTTGGGACTCGGTATGCCTGCGGCTCGAGGCTTTGCATGAGAACGGCCCAGGCTTGGGCACCGCTTGGCGTATCTTCCATCAAGAGCAGAAGCAACAACAGCCGAGCGCATGCATGTTGCACCTTACCACAGGCTGAATGCGAGACGGTCGGGCGCGAACGGTCTCGCTAGGTAGAGTGTTCAAATCATAGACATGTGCTCCTGGGGCATGAAAAAGTGATCGTACCTGGACGGGTGAAGGTAGGAGTATGTAGGAGTGATGGGAAACAGATGTTCCCGCTATCCTCGCAGATGAATGAAGCAACGTTCCCGCAAATGCAGAATCATGGTACGATCCGCCAGCTCTTGATGCTTGCGGGGGTTACATCACTTCCACGACCTCTGCGGCAAGCAGTGGCTAATTGACTGGATTCGCAGGCGACGGAGCCGAACGTAGAGGACAGCGCCACGTATCGGGGCCCAGCCGACCTTTTGAGGGATTGCACGGTGGGATGTGGGGCATGTGGCGTTGAGGCTTTCAGGCAAGGCCACGGATAATGGTGGAGTCATGATCGTGGCGTGCGGACGGGCTGTTTCGACTCTTGCCTTCGGTTGCCTTGCAAGGTGGGTTGTCCCAGGAGGACCTGCTCCAAATATGCCTAAGGGCCCCTGGCTGCGGATAACATTGCAGGAGTTCACAGGTTTCAAGTTTCCACAAAGGTTTGTTTAAAGGTCTGGGGAAGTTCACAAGCTTAAAGCCAACCAGAGATTACGAGCGGTGTCCTTCTGCACCCACATACCAAGGAGTTCGGCAGCAGCGCAGAGAAAAGGGAAGAATGACCGGGAGCTTTTCCCTGAGCCAAAGCATACCGACGCTGATCCCTGGTTTGAAGTTACTCTAAAACTCCTGACCCTGTTTTTTCCCCTATTTCATTCATTCCCACAGCCCCATGGGTTTGATCAGCTGTCCAGGTTGAGCTTCTCTCAGCCACAAGCATGCCCAAGGGAACGCAGGCTCCGGATGTTCCTATCTGATCCTAGAGTTCGTTTTGGAAACTTGGCTCTTTGTACGGAGTTCATGGACATTAACAGAGACCCGACATGCAAATCGAATCATAGGAGGTTTGGTGCCAGAAAGCCTTGCTCTACGATGTAGACCAATCTTTGGCAGGAGAAGAAAGCCGGCGGTTCCAGTGGCGAGGCGCTCCCAATCCGGCTTGGCATTTTCAGTCGATCAGAATCTAGATTTCACGAGGGCAGAAATCAGAGGCACATTTCCACTCGGCCTTGTCTGAGCACGGTCATGTTTGATGAGACGCCCAACGAGTTCGTAGAAAAGGGGGTCCTAATTTAGCGAACAAGTCAAATATGTCCGAGGATGTACTACTGCTAACAATACGAAATCCTCAACAATAAATCCCGCTTGTGGAGATGTTGAGGATGTACTACTACGACCCTAAACCCTAAACGCTAAACCGTTGAGCCTGCACTCCTCCACCGCATGGACCCGGACTCCCGCACACCCCCACCACCTTGCTCACCCACGTTATGAATCTAGAAACCGGGTGCGTGCGTTGCGTTGATGGTTGCTGGGACCCGGGACCTACCTCAGATGGCAAGTGTATTATCAACATGTACTTTTGAAGGGAGACCGCTTGAACGTTGGCGAGCTCGCGCCCACGAAACTCACTAGAATCACTAGAAGGCTACGCAAGGCTTTTAGGGTTTGAGTCGAGAAAGGCCTGAGGCCTGACTGTCTGCGGCCATTGCGCTAAACTGAGTCATGATGTTGAACGTTCCTCGGGTGTCTATCTGGTCTGCATTGGTCTGCCAAGCCCGGCGGCCAACGGAGAGGTCTTCAATCCTGATTCCGCACACTTAGTTACTTCAGGAGGGTTTTTGTTCGGATGCGTGTTAAAGATGCCATCTGTGACATGTCTGGGCCATCGCTGACGCGGCTCGTAGGAGCCATGTCCCAGAGACCTTGGACAGTCAAGTTGAAACCATTTTTAAACTCGGTCTGCAATGCTTTACCCTAAACGCAACACTCTGTTCAACTGGACCTTTTAAACCCGTCCGCAGACCCATTACACTGAATTCCGTTCATTAGAACCTTACCTGTTCAACTAAAGCCTTAAAACCTGAAGCCCGATCCCGGACACTTAAAATTCAGGCCCGTGCCCAAAAGCACACGACGACACTTAAAACGATTGGTCAGAGTTTGGCTCGGAGTAACTTCAGTCCAAGCAGTTTTGGTGGAGTTTGTTCGACACGGTCTGGGGACACTGGCAATGCAAACAGCCGACTAGTGATAAGTTGTCGTTCGATGCAAACAGCCGACTAGTGATAAGTTGTCGTTCGGTGACGATGCCGGCATGGCCAGTCTGGTCACCTCAACATTGCGTCGGAGCCTCGTGTCTTCAAACGTGTGAGTTTGACCAGCTGCAGCCCAAGTCAGCATGGCAGGTAGCAAGGCATGGAAAATGGGGTCCGGCACTCTGACCGCAGGACCTGGATCGTAAGTCACGCGGCCAGGTGTTTCGCTCGTTTGCTTGCAGGATCGACGATTTTATCGCAACCGTGGTGTGCTCATGCTGACGCTGCTCCGCGACATATCGGTACATTTTCTTTGGAAGCGGTGGAAAGGTATTGAAGCTTCATTGCAGCGAATGTCGTTATGTTATCCGTGGGTGGCACGCGAGAAGCCCAGACATCAGGTTGCAGTACATTTCTTCAAGTTTCTTTAATTTTTGCTCTGGACTGCAGCGCAAACGTGAGGCACCCGCAGGCCCTCGCAGCGTAATTCCATCGTTGCGATTGGGGAATACACCGCACACAGAAAGGTCCCGACCCATCCTCAGATTCGGTCGCGGTGGTGTCATCCTCAGTCGCGTCATTTGCGCTGAGGTCAACCAAGTTCTCTGAGTACTTGCGTCAGAGGATGGAGGGGCAGCAGTCACTGGCCTGGTTGACAAGTTTCTGGCACGGTGCATGACTTTCGACTTTCAGCACAAATGCTGCAAGGTATCCTTGACACCCCCACTACAGACGTGCACTTCCGACGTTCACCGGCGTTGTCAAGATTCGCAAGGGGCTGACTGCACTTCTCATCTTCGCATGCTGTGATGGTCGGGATATGTCGGGATGCTGCGCAGCAAGCAGAATTTCCTTGAGAACTCCGCCCTGAGTCTGAAGGCGCCATCA